CACATACACATACAAATACACATACACATACACATACACATACACATACATATACATACATACGTACATACATTCATACACGTATATACACACTGTATATATATATACACAGGCATATGCAATCGTATATATATATATATATATATATATATATGTATGTATGCATACTTTTACATAATCATGCATGCATATAGTATAAATATAATATAAATCTAATGTGTGTATATATATATATATCTCCCGAAGATGAAAAACATGCTGTAAGCTTCGAGTTTGGGGATATAGAATTTCACCAAGCTTCCGCTTGGGTGATCACACCTGTGAGAATGACAGGAAGCACACTGGAGCGTTTCCTCCACCTAAACAGAAGTACACCCCGAAGACCAACCGTTCTTCTGAGCTCTGTCACTCGAGATACATACTAAGCCAGAGGCTAGGAACCGAATAAAATTTACTTCAACCTACCAAGACCTATTCTTTCGTAAGGTCCCTTTTAGGGTTTAGGGTTTAGGGTACAGGATTCGGGGCTGTGGGGTTGGGACTGAGGCTCGAGGGTTCAGGGTAGGGAATCGATGCTCTCGTTGAAAGAACTGAGTCGTAGGGCTAAGACTCACGGTTTAGGGTTTAGGGTTTAGGGTTTAGGGGTTTAGGGTTTAGGGCGGCTAAGACTTCTCTGTTGAATCACGAGGCTACACAAGGCTTCGGGCTGGGGCTTCTGTCGGGTGGTGGCTGGCACACACAGCTTCACCCGAACCCCTGAAATCCTAGCTGCCAGGAGAAGCACGACGATAAGTTCGTCTAAACGCTAATCCCTACACCAGGAGAAGCACGACGATAAGTTCGACAACGCGGAGCATCGGCCAGTGCAGAGATTGACGTGCAGGGGCCGCTTGCCTTTCCATGGAGCTCTTATTCTCTAAGGCTCCAAGGCTTTGGGGGACTGGGGTTTAGGGCTTGAGGGTTGAGGGTCTAGGGGTTTAGGGTTAAGGGCTTAGGGCTTGGGTTTAAGGTGCGGGGGGTTGAGGCTGTTTTGAGGTTTAGGGTTTCAGGCTTTAGGGTTTGAGGGCCCGAGTTTTAGGGTTCAGGGTTTTAGGGCAGAAGGGCTTTGAGGATTTAGGTATGATGAGGTTTGGGGATTGGAGGGTTTTTAGTAATTTCGGGGTTCTATCGGTTTAGGGCTTTAGGAGGGTGAAGGTTTAGGCACTACAGGGTAGTGGTGCTGATCAGGAAGAGTTTACTGCCGGTCCGCCAGAGTCAAAGGCCATGAAACGCCTGAAACCTTGAACCATACACTACTACCGCAACCCTATCTCCTGATTGAACCCCAAACCCGCGTTCGACCGCAAAGACAAACCCCAATTATTGAATCCTAAAGCCAACACTGAAGCATACTCAAGCCAAAGGTTAATCCTAACCCTAAACCAGAGCTAAAACCTGCAATCCAAATCCTGAGGGGAAGTCAGCAACCAGGGCTTCATTTCAAGCTTAGGCTGAGGTGAGGACATTAGGTCTAGAGTTTTCGGTTTTAAATTTTGGGATTTGGGTTTGGGGTTCAGGGTTTAGGAGTTTAGGGTTTTCGGATTTAGGGTTTAGGTTTTGACTTTAGGGTTCAGGGTTTAGGGGCTTGGGGTTTTTCGGATGCAAATTTTAGGGTTTGGGTAGTTGTGGTTGGGGCCGCATCCCGTGGCCGACAGCCCTGAGCTTTAAGCTAAGTTAACTTCCCACCAACTGAACCCCAAGCACGGACTAAGGCAAAACACCTCGAAACCCTCGAGCCCGAACTCTAATGCCCTAAACCTTATAAGCCCTAAGCCCTAAACCCTATAATCCCTAAACCCTATAACCCCTAAACCCTAAATTCTAAACCCTAAACCCTAAACCCTAAACCCTAAACCCTAAACCCAATAAGCCCTAAGCTCTCAACCACTTGAGGAAACGCGTGCGATGACATGAAAGCAGCGCTGCCCACGAAGCTCGGCTCCTGGGGCCGCTCGGCCAACGGGTTTAGGGTTTAGGGCTTAGGCTTTTGGGTTTTGAGTTTAGGGTTTAGGGCTCAGGGTGTTTGGGTTTTGGGTTTTGGGTTTTGCTTTCAATTCGAGCGTGGGTTTTGGGCTCAGGGCTTAGAAAAGTGACCCCTTGACTTCCTGGTGTTTTCGTTCGGGCTTATATGGGTTGCATCCGAAAGATTTTTTCCTTTTATTCAGACCTCTGTCGTATCCTATTGTCCTAAGCCATTCTTACCCCAAAGCTTTAACATCGGACAAACCCTAACCCCTAAACCCTTAAACCCTAAACCCCTAACCCCTAAACCCTAACCCCTAAACCCTAAACCCCTAAACCCCTAAACCCTGACCCCTAAACCCCGAAAGCCCTAAACACTAGCATCCGAAGCCCCTGGGCCCTCAAGTGGTGCCCAGAACCCTTCCGGCAAGGACTCCGTAAGCCTCAGCACCCCAAACCCTAAACCCTAAACCCTAAACCCCTAAAGCCCTAAACCCATGGCACCCTGAACTCTAAACCCCGAAACCCCTAAAGCCCTAAACCCCCCAACCAATGAGCCCTAAACCTTAAACCCTAAACACCCCAGGCAGCTACGTCGATGTCCGGGGCACACCTACCATCTGGACAACGCGCTTCATGGAGGAAGTCGCCTTTTGGCTCAAGACTGATTGTTTTACCGGACCGAGGCTGCCAAAACCTACCTTTTGGATCCTTTTTGTAGGGTTTAGGGGTTTAGGGCTTAGGGTTTAGGGTGTTTGTACAACCTTAAGCTGCCAAAACCTACCTTTTTGTAGGGGCCCTGTAAATCACTAGGTTCCCCAGTAGGGTCCCAGCATGGTGCGGCTTAGGGTTTAGAGCTTTGCATTGAAGTCTGAGCGTCAGCCAAGAAATGGATGTGAGGCAACATGCCAGGGTGCATTGCGCTTGCCGATGCTTTAAACTTGCCTGGACTAGAACGTCTCTAAACCCCTCACCAAGAGATCTGCCCTGCTGAATCCTCAAAGCCGAGACATCGAGGAAGCCACCCCCAGCCCTTCATCCTCAACCCAACCCCAAACCCTAAACCCTTCATCCTAAACCCAAAGCCTCGAATCCTAAACCCTTACCCTAAGATCAACTAAGGAGATGAGATGCCCTCCTGGACACTATGTTGCCAACATCAGGCCCACATGGGCTGCAATGTGCATGGGGGGATAATTGGGGAAACCCACCAATCATTGAACAACGGTAACCCTTACGCTTAAAGTCGAAGCTCTCAAAGTGCTAAACCTTAACAGTAGTAGTAGTAGTAGTAGCAGTAGTAGTAGTAGTAGTAGTAGTAGTAGTAGTAGTAGGAAAAGCCTTCTGACCAGTTCATTATTGGCGTTGCTTCTAGTCCGGCAGACGATGACTCCATTCTCATAAACCCTGAACCCTAAACCCCAAACCTAACATCCAGCCCGAGGTGTCACGAGTCTTTCTGCCAAAAGAAAGAGCTGCTCTGTGCTTTGCCCGACTACTCGGCGGGCAACTGGTTCGTTTCTGGCGGCATGTGCCATGCCAGCAGAAGTGATCATTGCAAGCCGGATAAGCCGGACAGAAGCAAGCTCCAACCTGAACAGCATCAGAGACCAAGTAGCGCAGTGGGTTTAGGGTTCTGGAGTTTAGGGTTTTTCGGGAGGTAATGCAAGGCCCATAAAGCAGCAACGGCCGAAGTCGGCCCGGGGCTTGTGCTGCATTGAGCAATGACCCTAATCCCTACCTGAACCCTCAACAACCTACCTTTTTAGGGTTCCGAAGTATGATTTCAATATGCAGTCGGCCGACTCCTGAGCATGGCTATGAGAAGAAGGGTGCAACAACACAAGCAACAAGCTGAGGAGACTTTGGAACCCTAAGGCTCAAAATAGCCCAAAAGGCCTTTGGGCCCAAAAGCCTTATTAGAATATAAGTCCTCCGAGCCTTGGGGGAAGGGATCGGCCTGTAGGGGTTCCACGAGGTTACTACCTGTTTTTTGTAGGTTCCCATTATATACCCTAAGGCTCCATGTACCTTTATAGTAGATACTTCGGCCTTAAAGTACCCAATAGGGGACCCCTTTAAGACCTAAGTATCTACTATAAAGGTACATGGGCCCACAAAAAGTAGGTTTTGGTAGCGTAAGGCAGGTGTTGTCGGGTTCGCCTGCGTCGTTGTGCAAGTGTGACCACCGTGCCTAGAACGTTGCAGCAAACCTAGCAGCGACATCCCCTGGAAAAGCTTTAGATGCCCAGAACCGTAAACCCTAAACCCTAAACCATAAACCCTAAACCCTAAACCCTAAACCCTAAACTAAACCCTAAACCCTAAGCCCTAAACCCTAACACCAGCAACAGGTACTACTCCCACTGCTTCACCAATAAGGCTCGGGTCAGGTCGGTACCGAGGCGGTTTGTAGCATCAGCCGCTGCTGCCATAAACTTCGCTTGCCACGTCGATGCTTGTCAAAGGTTCCTGGGCGACTTGTGGGAGGATTGTTCTTGTATGAGGGATTGCCTAAACCCTAAAGCCTGAAGAGATACTTTCATTAAGGCACCTACAGTAGAGCGGAAGCATGAGACCTCTTTCGTCGTACCCTGTGGCTTGCCCTAAACTCGAAACGCAGAGCCCAAAGTCCCAAACCCTAAACCCTGACCCTAAATTTTAGATCCTGAGGTCCCAAACCCCAAACCCCAAACCCTGAACCCAGACCCGAAATCCCAAACTCCAGTTCGACCCGAAGATTTCCGAAAACGTGCCCTAAAGCCTAAACGGTAAACCCTAAGCCCCTGAGCTCCAAAGCATAAACCCTGGCCCTAAACCCCAAAGCCCATACAAATTATGAGCACCAAGCCCTAAACCCTGCACCGTTGCAAACCCCGAAACCCTAAACCCTAAACCCCGAAACCCTGAACCCTAAACCCTAAACCCTAAACCGTTATAGACCCTACTGCTGCAGGGGCAGCTCCCGTGGTCTGACTGGATCAGAGATGCTCGGACATTTCACATTCTGACCCTAAGCCATAAACCCCAAGCCCTAAGCCCTAAGCCCTAAACCCCAAGCCCTAAGCCCTGAACCCTACGTCCTAAACCCGAAGCCCTAAACCTTAAACCCAAAGCTCTAAAACCTAAACCCTAAACCTTAAACCCTAAACCCCAAGCCCTAAACCCTAAGCCCTAAACCCTAAACCCTAAACCCTGAACCCTAAACTCTAAAGACCAGCTCGGGCTAGGCTCTGCTTCCGGGTGCACCTGGACCCCAAAGATTCTAATGTAGGGGCAGTTGAGGGTTTAGGTTCTAGAAATACCAATACTATTTTTTTTGGGGGGGGGTTCCTCATTATAAGTATAGTATAATGGGCCCCAGAACTTTTTCAATTATTATTACGGCCCCTATATTACAATTTTTCGAGATCCTTCTTATGATCTCTTTATATAAGTCCTTAAACTTCGTGTGCAGATTCGGTTTCGTGACCCCAGTCGGCATTATGGAATTTTCAGACCAGGCCCTACATGGTAAGACCACTTACGAAGACCATCTACCATGGTGGGCCACTTTGCAGGGCTGCGAAGCCTGCATTACCCATATGAAGGAAGATACCATAGTTCCCATAGTTTAGGGTCCTTAAGCTAATGCAGGATTTATATCATCAACAGTACGACTCCAATGCATGGGGTTTGGATTCAGCACAGGGTTTTGGAGCAGGGGCCCCGATCACCAAACAGGGAGGACAAGATCTCCCCCAGCATCTTTCTGCCGCATCTTGGAATCCCTCTAGTTCACGCCAAACACCTATATAATTTTAAGAAGGCAGGGTACTCATATAACTAAAGCATCATGAAAATGGTATTGGGTTAGGGTTGTGGGTTTGTGGTTTTGGGTTTGGGGTTTTGAGCCTAAAGACCCTAACATACTTGTCGGCGGAGAAAAAAAGGCCCCCTAAACCCTAAACCCTAAACCCTAAACCCTAAACCCTAAACCCTAAACCCTAAACCCTAAACCCTAAACCCAAAGCCGTAAAACACAAAGTCCCAAATCCGAGACTCAGAGCCCGAAGGCCTAGGCAGCGAGTCCTGAAACCAACTAGACCCTTATAAACCCTAAACCCTATAAACCCTACACCCTAAATCCTGAACCCTAAACCCTAAACCCTAAACCCTAAACCCTAAACCCTAAACCCTAAACCCTAAACCCCAAACCCTAAAGCCTAAACCTTCAAAACACAAAGTAACTCTGAGGATAAGCTCGCTGCGAGCAAGGGGGCGGAGAGGCCCAGAAGCTGGGGGCCAGGGCCGTCGGGTTCAGGGGTTTAGGCGTTTAGGCGTTTAGGGGTTTAGGAGTTTAGGGTTTAGGGTTTAGGGGTTGAGGGGTTTCGGGGTTTCGGGGTTTAGGGTTTGGTGTTTGGAGTCTTCGCCAGGAGCCCTCAGCAATGTGGAAGCCTGAAGCATTGCCAACAGCATTCCTTACAGTTCCTTATTGTATTCAGACTAGAATATCGCCTAACACCACTATTCTAATGATTAATAGGGTAAGATCCGCGATTTTGGGGTTTCCGGGCCTTCAACCCCGTCACATGTTCTGTGGATGTTCACCCATCACCAACCCCAAGCCCAACACCGCGTTCAGGGTTGGGGGTTTAGGGTTTCCTAAAACCGACAACGCTAAACTAGGGGCTTTAATAATTACCTATACGATTTCGGGGGTTCCTTCTTATAAGTAGAATCTCATACACCTCAAATACCCCCTTCTTCTAATTATTAAGGCCCCTACATTCGACCCTCAAACCTAAGCCCCTAAACCCTAAACCCTAAGCCCTAAACCCGAAACCCTAAACCCTAAACCTCAAGCCCTAAACCCCAAACCCCAAACCCTAAACCCCAACCCTAAACCCCTTAAGCCCAAGACCAGCTCCCCAGTCGCTCCGCCTAAGCCCGACTCCTTGAGGAGCTTCAAAGGCACCTTCTTTTGATAACCGACTACTTAACCTCTGAAGCCTATAGAACAGAGCCCTTATAGAAGACATATGGAACCCTAGCAGTGCCTATAATGCGCTAAAAACCGTAATGGAATACTAAACACCCTTATGGAGCCCTAGTGGAAACCGAAACCCTAAACCCCAGACCCTAAAAGCCTAAACCCTGCACCCTGAACCCTAAAACCTAACCCCGTTTCCTCTTCCTTTCAAGCCTCTCTCAGGAAATCCTGCAGCTCTGACATGGCGAGGCCCAGGGGGGCGGTTTAAGGGAGAACGGCTAGGCTTAGGGTTTAAGGCCTAGGGCCTCAGGGTTCAGGATTTGGGGTTTAGGGATGCTTAAGGCTTGCCTAAGGTTTGCGGTTTGGGGTCTAGGCTGTTCAAGGCTTAGGGTTCATGAGGGTTCGGGGTTTAGGACGCGATGGAGCCTGGTGCTGTCTGAGCTTTTCTGTACCTGAATCTACCATAACCTACTTATGATTTGTGGCCCTATAACAAACCCCAATATCATAGCGTTTGAAGGGGTTTTACATAATGGTTGGTTTAGGTAGCTCAATAGTGTGCAACACCATATTTGGGGTTCCTTATTGTAATCATAGTACAACATGCACCCAAAGCCCGATTAACTTGACCCCGAACCCTGAACCCTAAACCCTAAGCCCTAAGCCCTAAACCCTAAACCCTAAACCCTAAACCCTAAACCCTAAACCCTAAACCCTAAACCCTAAACCTAAACCCTAAGCCATAAGACCTAAACCCTAAATCCTAAACCCTAAACCCTAAACCCTAAGCCCAAAGCCCTAAACCCTAAACCCTAAACCCCAAGCCCTAAGACACGAACTGCCTATTCTAATTCGTATAGCCCCTAGATCAGGTCTTCCGAGGGATTTTGGGGAGGCTCCGGGATCTCAGAGTTGAAAGTTTAGGGTTTAGGGTTTAAGGGTTTCAGGGTTTAGGGTTTAAGGTTTAGGGGTTTGGGTTTAAGGTTTGGGGTTTAAGGTTTAGGGTTTAGGGTTTAAGGTTTGGGGTTAAGGCTTTAGGGTTTAGGGTAGAGGGTTTCTAGCGGGCTCCTTTTGGGGTTTCAGGGTCCAGGGTTTTACGGCTTTAGGGGTTAGAGGTTTACAGGGCTCTATGGTTTCGGGTTCAAGGTTGAGGGCTCCTGAAGGCTCAAGGGCTTTGGGGTTTAAAGTTCTGGGCTTCAGGGTTTATAGCGCTTCTGAAGGTGTCGGGGGTTTAAGGTTTAGGGATCAGTGTTAACGGTTCAGGTTTAGGGTGTCCCTAAACCCTAAACTCTAAACCCCAAACCCTAAACCCTAAACCCTAAACCCCATCTTGTTAAGAGTTTTCCCAAATCCTGCAGTCTCTCCATCCGGCCGCGCCCAAAGCCCTACGCTCCTCGCAGATACATGTGGCACATGCCCTGGCCGCTGAGCGTTCTCCGGCACGGGGAAGACATGCAGCTTGTCAACCCCCAACAGAAGGGAATCAAGATTACGGTTCCCTAAACCCTAAACCCTGAACCCCAAACCCTAAACCCTAAACCCTAAACCCCAAACCTCAAACCCTAAGCCCTAAACCCTCAAGGGGTTTGGGTCTCGGATTGTAGGGGCCCGGGAGAGGATCTGACCGGAAACTCCCCAACTACCAAAGCCTGAATAGTTACCAATATTGTTTCTCTTGGCTCTTATTGTGACTATAGCCGGGTGTAGGGTTTAGGGCTTAGCGTTTATTTAGAGTTTGGGGTTTATGACTTTAGTCTTGTGGTATAATATACACAAAAACCCCATTCTAAGTATTAAGGCCCCTAGATTATGCATTGAAGGGTACTGTCTTGGCCAGAAGCCGTCGAAGGCTCGAGTGGGTACACGCATCATGGTTCTTGTTCGGTCTAGCCTTTTCGGTACCTGGGCTTAGGGTTGGGGTTCGAGGCTGTGTGTTATCGCACCTTTCAGTTTGAAGCGGGGCCTTAAAATTACCTATAATGGAAAATATACCCCCAAACCCTAATCATTAAGGCCCCTACATTAGTGCAAACCCCCGAAGTGACGGAGGCCTGTAAGCAGCTACTCGGCAACGAAGTCCGAAACCACAAGCTGCTTCAACCAAACTCGAAACCGTAAACCCTAAACCCTGATCCCTAAACCCTAAACCCTAAACCCGAAACCCTAAACCTTAAACCCTAAACCTCAACCAGCAATACCTTAAGTCCGAAAGCCCCAGACCCAGGCCCTGTCGTGAGTGAAGCCCTAAACTTACCGAAACCAGAGACTCCAATATCACTTAATTAAGGAATATACCTTATATCATATTCGGGATCCCTACTGCAATTTAAAGTATATTCCTTAATTAAAGGATATCGGAGTCTCTGGGAAACTGTACAACCCGAACATGACGCTAAGCGATCCTTGCTACACCTTGCACACCCTTCAAAGCCACTACAACATCTTCAAACACCCCCAAACCCTCAAAAGCCCCCTGAAAAAAGAATCCTAAACCCTAAACCCTTAACCCTAAGCCCTAAACCCTAAACCTTAACCCTAAACCCCAAAACCCTAAACCCTAAACCCCACCCACCCTAAACCCAAAGCCCCAAAC